AAATATTGACTGCTACAGAAGAGCCCTAGTTAGTAAGCAGAACCACCAGAGCAGAGAGAACTGGGATTTTTCCCCTTCTCTGTAGTGTTGATAAGTTATCGATTCCAATTCCAGCTGTATAAGGTGATTTTCTGTGGGTGTTTTTCATACATCAATCTGAGCTCGGGTCCTGAAGCCAATAATTTCCTGCTTTGCTGCCTGTCAGTGTCAGCAGCCACAGGGATACAGTTTTTGGGGCAGCTGCTCACAGGGGCCCTGGTGGCAGGTGTGGGGGGCTGTGCTGTAGGTCCCAGGCTGCTTCCTTCCCTCTGCTCCAATGGTTACAGCTGCAGAGGCCATTCCTACTGCTGCCTGTAAATGCCATCCAAACTTCTCTGCAGGATGGCTGCAAACAGTTTGGGTTTGAGTCTTTTTAAATGGTCCTTTGGTTTGCCCAGTATGTATTTTCCTTCACTGGCAGGGTACCTCATTCCCCTGTGTTGCTCCTCCTGTTGTGACTTCTCAGGACTTGACCCAGAGCAAGAATATTCATTCTCCTCTTGACATCTGTTCAGATTCTATGAAGCAGAGCTTGCTGCTCATCCTCAGAGCAGCACAGGGAAAGACTTGCCACAGAAAGCCCTTGTTGGTGTGATGCAAAGCTGGCAGAGCCAAGTGTCCTTTCCTGCTTGCCGCTGCTGCTGGCACTGCGAAAGGGCGAATCCCCTTTGTGCTCCCACATGGATTGTTGCCAGGCCATTTTGCACTTGTGGAAAGACCCAGATTCAGGAGGACTCCACACAGGACATGCAAAGGCAAGGCAGACCTTCCTATATCCACTGAAAGATGGAACTACAAAATATCCTAAGCAGAAGAGAGGGACTTCTGCATCACCTGTTGGGAAAGTTGTTACCTGCAAAGGTTTTAACTATGATACACACCAGGGCTGTGAGTTCCTCTGTGGTGTATGGGTAACACCTGGGAGATATCACTGCAATGAATATGAAAGTGCAGCATAGTCCTTGGCCTCTCTGCTGAGCTGCTGTATTTAGTGCCACAGCTGGCAGTGATAGTAAAAACAGTGGGTTTGTGCCACTGACAGTGACAGCGATTTCTCATACCCTGAATTCAGTAAAAACCTGACACTTCCTTCACTGATGCAGTTAATATTTTCTCAGTCCACGACAACATTCAGAATCTGGCTCATCTGAATTAGAAACTGGACTGTTTCAGCAGCAAATTTTGCCAGGCAGCCATCCAGTTGACCTAAACCATTTTTAACATAGTGATTTAGAGGCAAGAGGCACTTCTGTGTACTTTGCTGTATCCTAAATCATCTGTGCTCGTTCTCCTCATAGTTGAACTATGTCACTTGAGTAGAAGTACTATAGCTGAAGCGTTTGCACTCGGCTCCAAAAGCCCTTTGAATATTCTTACAAGAAAAGGTTGCTTTATAGGAAGATGGAGCACAAATTATTTCCAGTCTGGAGCTGACATGGAGATTTGGCACTCCATCTGGAGTGCTTCCATTCAAGAGGTATTTCTATAAATTCTGCCCTGGTCCTGATGCACAGACAGTCTCTGTTGTCAGTCTCAAACCATAGGCTTGTCAGGCGTGATAAAGGCAGAGGAATATATACAGTGTGCGTTGGCTGATTGCACATTGTCTGCAGCTGTATAATTTTCCACAGTTATTGCTTTCAGGTGATTTATTTGTGCAATTTCTTGGGGCAAGTCATCTGCAGGTTTCAAAATGCATAGTGTTATGATCTTGGGGATTTATTCTCACTGTGTAAATGGGGACTCTCAGTGTCATCTATGAAACTGCACTAAGATAGTGTGGAAAAATAATCAAGACCACTTTTAGAACATGGACCTCAGCAGAATGACTGGAGGTTTATATTAACATGCCTGGTGTATAAAATGTGACTGGAGAGCAGTTGATAGTCTATCTAAGAAGAGGTACAGCTTTTGGATAAAAATTATCGAACATAAGGGGCAATGAACAGAAGGTTTTAGAGGTGTAGCGTGTAGAATTTACCATATCTCTTGAAAATAGATGTCTTGTTTTCATGCTAAGTACTGTCTTTTTCATCTTCTACAGGAAATACTTCAACTCTCATGGAAATAAGTAGGGAAGGTAATCATAGTTTCTTACTCATTTTTGCCCCCAGAGGAAGGAGACCAACTTTTCTTTGAAGACTATTTGTACTGTAATTGAACCAGGGTAATTACTATGCAAACAATACCTACTTTTCTCATAGCTTCAGGAAATTTATGATCTCATTATTTGTTTGCTTGTTTGTTTCCCACTGCCTGCAAATCACTGGCTAGATAAAGATTAGCCTGGTGAACCCTTTGATAGTTTGGGCAATACATTTCATATGCAGAGTGGTGAAGTCCTGGCTGCAGGAAAGGCTGGACAGTTTAAGATGCCAGCTTGTTGTTCTCTGATAATTTGTTATTCCTTGGCTGGGACAAATAAGCACCTTTCTGGTGATGTGGAGGAAGAGGCCATGTGGCTCAAGCTCTCCAGTTGGCTGGAAGAAACCATAAGGAATTTGCTGTATTAATCAGTATTTTCTTTATGCTGAAATTGCATGTGCTGCTGTTGAAATCTTTCCTTTGTGACTTGCTGTCCGGCTTTTTTGTATTGAACGAACCCCATAAATTCAATAGGCTTCTCCCCAGGCTGTGGGATGGAAATCACTTCTAGATGTAAAAAACCCCAATGCCTAGTGTGGAAAAAAAAATTTCTTTCCATTTGCAGAGCATGTGTAGAGGAAAAGACAGTGAAATTACCAGGGTAACATGGATGCATTAGAAAAGCTTAATTCTTTTTCAGTCCATAGCCTAGGAACATGGTGCCATGATATGAGGAAGCAACTGCTTGTAGTTTCACCAAATGGTGGTTTGAGTTTTTGTTTCTCCCTAGTCCAGCCTCAAGCTCTGCCCTTGAGCTGCCTGCAAGGCTGTTGTGGGGGGCAGCTCCTGTCTCCATTCTGGCTCCTTCTGAGGAACAAACTCCACATCAAACCTGCTGGAGCTGTGGCAGATGACCTCCCCTCCCTGCTGCCTTTCTTTTAAGATGGACAGCATTGCTGGAGTGCTTGTTTTCCAGCTGACACAGCATGTTTTATTTACTGCAGGAAGCAGAAATATCTGTGTCCCTTTTGGTCTGACTACCTCAAATGGTGTTCCCCCCTGCTTTTGTTTTATTGGTTTGTTGGTCGTGAAAGTGCAACCTCCTACTGTTTTGTCTTTGTTGCTCTATAAATTACTGAATATTGCCACATTTCATGAATTCACAGTCAGGCAGTTGTTGAGGTTGTAGCAAGCAGGTGTTCTGCGCTTTTATATCCTTTACTTTTAGTGTAAAGGTTGTATTTTCTGCTGACTGTAAAAAATGATAGGGTTTTTTTGGATGCTGAATATGTGACTGTTTTGATCCAGGTAGTGAATTCAAATGGGAATATTCTATTTATAAAGGAATTAATGCCAAAGTACCAGCACTGGAAACCAGTTTGGGCTCACGGTAAAACTGCAGAAACTGCCCCTAAGAGAGCTCTGACACTGTCAGAGTAGCAGAATAGCAGAAAGTAAACCAAGTCCAAATAATTAACATTTAGGCTTATGTAAATAAGCCTACTTCTCTTTATCAGATCTGACACTATCTTCTTCAGTCCTCCATGTTTCTGAGATGGTATAAAAAAATCAGATGAACAGAGGAAATAGCTTTGTAAAACCTGAGGATGTGAATATCCTTTAGTTTTGTATTACTATCTGCACAAGGCTTTTCTGCTCCTTAGTGTCTCCACAGATACTTTCTCAGCTGAGACCCTCTCACTAACCCCCAGGAAAGGCTGAGGCCTTGAACTCCACTGTCCAGAGCAACCCAGAAGTCTTCCAAATGATGGGGAAAATGCATTGCTCTCCATAAGTATCTTAGTATGGAGCATGTGCTTGTGAGTTCAGCTTGGATATGGGGTGTCCTACAGCTCTGTGCCTCTGTGTGTTCTCTGACCCTCTCTGATTTCTGCACTTGATACCCCCCCTCAGTTTTCCCAAGGTGAGTAATTGCTTTCCCTTACACATTCCCGCGTGTGCTGATCCCCCAACTCAGCTTGTCTGTAGTGAATCAGTATTTGTGGGAGACAAAGCAAATGCCATCCTCTAGGATGTATATGCTACAGAGAGGGAGAAAAAAATCAGTATCTGCTTATTTGTATTAGTCTGTATGAACTGATACCACAGCCTTCTTGACCAGCTCAAGTCCCACCTCAAAGAGGGAATGGACAGCTTATAAACTGTCTGCATTAAACTTATTTGCAGGTGACTTGGTCCTTCCCCAGGGGCCTAGTTTGGTCCTTGCTGAACAACAGACAGTTGCAGAGAACTCAGCATTTTCCTAGGCTGAGTTGCTAAGTTTCTACCTGTGCCATCAGAAACCTCCCTCCTCTTTACTTTAGCAACTCTAAGCTTACTTTTTGAGTGACTAAAAAACCCACTTTAGCACATATTATGTGCTTCCCAGTCCTTCAGGCTTCTCCTTTAGCAATTCCTTCCAAACCCTTTTTCTTAAGAAGTATAATTTTGCAGGCTCCTTCACAGAAAATGTGATCTCTTCGTAATCTCCTATACCTTAAAATAAACCAGCCACCCTTCAGTCCATTTCTCTCACCATCCAGTCATCTTTCATCCTAAAGCTTAATGAACTGCTTTCTGCTGTTTTAATGTAGATACTTTCCAGTTCATCCTTATTTCTGGACTGAAACACCTTCAGAAGTGTCAGACCTTTGCCAGAGATGTAACTACATTTACTTTTTTTCCTGTGATGTGCTATCTCTGAAAGTCTCTTATATGGACTTGGATTCAGGGACCTTTATACACTTAGCAAATGCAAGCTAAGGTTGTAGCATTTTGGACAATTTTTTGTGGAAATTCAATTAACAAAATTCAGTCATTTGCTGTTTTCTAGTGACCTAAAGGTCACTTTCTCTCTCATTTTTTTTCTTTTCCAGGCACTGAAGACAACATCACCCAGTGTCTTTGCCATGGCCCAGCCTGCAAACATGAGTGTTGTTTCAGTGTGTCCCTCATCCTCAGATCCTAATTCCAGGGCAGCTGAACTTTGCTGTTCTGTTTTGTGCAGCAGCATCTCGGTGTCTGCACAACTGAAATTCTATCCCAGCTTTCACCCCCTCATGTCTGGAGTTACTTAGGAGGACACTCACACTCTATTTCTATTTGTTCAAAATGCTGCTAGTGATACTCATTTCTTGCCTTGTAATTGAAGCACTTTATCACTCTTCTTGCGTCTCTTTGCTGACTTACTTTCATCCCCTCTATCCAGTGTCATTCTGCATTTGTAAGACCCTTCCAAGCCTGCCCAGTGAGGCTGTGAAGCTGTTAACTCTTGTTTCTGCCCTGAAGATGGTGCCAGTCATTCTCATCCTCCTGCTTCGCCTTTTTTTATGTTCCTTGCCAGGGATGAGCAAAGTTCCTTGTAAGCCCAGCAGGGCAGCTCCATGGGGTGCCTCCTAGGCTAGCCTTGAAATTCCCTTAGCAGTGATGCCTGTGTGCCAGTAGGCACCCAGTGTGTCACCTTGGCCTGGCTTGTGTCTGTGCTGATGTCCTCTCAGATGTGGGATTTGAGAGGGGACAGAGCATGGCTGGCTTTCATCATCCCAAAACGAAGCCCTGGCAGCAATGTACTGCTGTAATATGACCAACACAGTTTGCTTGGGAAGGTTCTGGGTTATCTGTATCGCATCAGCTCCTCCTATACAAATTGTTTAGGATAAAAGTATCTACGTTTTATAAATGTAATTCTATAAATCAAATTGTTTTCACAGATCACACTTTCCTTTTATTGCTCTTTGTTATTTGGGGGCATATGGTAGCTTTCTGTAAAATGTCGCCTTAATTGCCTTCTGGATATACCCTATAAATCCTGACAAATGCTTTTAAAAGTGAAAACCAAGGCATATTTTTCTTCTATCAGAGCTTGCTCAACAAACCGCTTGTACCTTTTCCGTGGGGCCTTGCAAAATGCTGTTATGTCAAGAAGAATAATGCTATTTAATTTATGAACCATTAATATTTATTGCACATGCAATCGTTGGCATTTTGTGTGAGAGAGCTGGACAGCAGCTATTAAAATTGGAAAGAGGTTGTATATTAACCAGGGCTACTCAGATAATTCATATGGGGTAATTTTTGATTAATTTATTTCTTTCTGTTGACAAATTTCCTGGTAGTGGCCAGCAAGGTGGGTTTTTTAAACTTATTTCCTAGCTTATAATGAATTGCTCAGTAATTACTACAAACAATTCAACTCCTTTATTATTAGGATTTTATAAGTGTGTTGAAGAAGACTTGCTTATCTTGCTACACAATTAAGGAGTTGGATCTCAGTCTCACTTCTGAGTTGGGATCTGCTTGTTTTCCACAAAGATCAGGACTGGGGGCTCCTTACTCTGTGTTTTGTGTAGGGGCATCCAGAGACCCCAGTGTATGATGCTGCTGCCCCAAACCACACCCCCAATTCCACAGTATGAGGATTTGCAAAACCTTCTAGCAGTGCTCAGCTTTACAGTGAATCCTCCTGCACACTGTGTTGGAATACTGGCCCAAGAGAGGGCTCTGGTGCCACAGTATCATCTTTTGAAAAGAACATGATTAATTTTGGGGTATAAGTTGGATAGATCTGCATATTTGTAGAACAAGTTGCCTGAAAATTACTTGTAACAAGGTTTTAAAATTCAGGTTATGTTGGTTTCTCCTGATACAAGTCTGCTCTTTTCAGTTCCTAATGGGGAATAATGTTATTTTCTTGAATCAGGTTCTGGTTACAATGTAAGTTTTATTTCCCTAAGTGTTTTATGTGACTCACTTTAGAATTAGCTGCTTCAGAGAAGTTTCCAGATGATAGATTACTTTGGGAGATGCTTACAGAAACGTGTGAGTATGACTGATAGCCATCAACATGGAACAGGTGGGAATTCTGAATAGTTTGATTAATGTTTTGGGGGTTGTTTATTATTAATTTTTTAAATGTTGTGATACTTGCACCTGTAACAGAGTGGAGTCTGACTGTATCACTGAAGAGATTGATAGAGGAATATTATGCCTAACACATTGATACAAATACAAATTTGATTCCCATACAAATTGGAAACCTGGAAAGCAGCAATATTGCAGCCCATTAAGAGACACAGCAGTGCACTAGTCAGAACTGAAGTGATGCAGTGATACAATTCTGCCTGATACTGAGGTAAGAACACAGAGATAATAGAAGTTTTCACTACGTGCCTGTGTTATGCAGAGGGATTAATTGTGATTAGATCTAGGGTATTATTTTGATGAATTATTCCCAGTGAGATATTCACAGAACAAGAGGGACTTTAAGACTGGTGAAGCACAACAATCCTGTTAGCTGGTTTGAGAAGATCTGATTCAGCTTTGTCTTCTAAATGCAGTCACTGGAGTCTAGGAGGGTGGGAATGGCTGCTCAGGCCGTGTCCAGGTGACAGGCAGGAAGCAGTCCTGTTGGGAAGGGGGCAGGCTGCCCAAAGGACTGTCCTCTGGTTCCTCAGTGCCTGTGTCCCATTAGGCTCAGTTCTTGCATGTGGGAAACCTGGTGCAAATGTCTAAATCTGTGTAGGGGAAGCTGGTACAAGCAAGGGAGCAGATTTACCTGGTTTCCAGATTCGAAATCTGCAATCTTGCAAAAATGTTTCTTAAATGCATTGTGACTTTTGCTTCAATAAGGGCAGCCAGAAAGTATCTCTTGCAGTTTTTGTTGCAGTGCACTGGGGCTGGAAAAGATTCAGGGAAAACCTGGAATTGCTAGCAATAGTCAACTTCCAGCATGTGTGGCAGACCAGTCCCTCACATGCATTTTGGATTTGCACGGAGATGGCAGTAGCTACCAACCCTTGCATAGTGTCCATGACAAAAGTCAGAGCTTTTAAGCGGAAAATGAAGAAAAAAATATAAATACGTCATCTTTTAACTCCTGGAAGATATGTCAGTTCTTTTGTGGAGCTGGAAGAGATTTGTTACTTAAGTTTGAATAGGGAGAGCAGGAAAGCAATGCAATGTAGTTGTTGGTAACTTCCACACGAACATTTAACAAGCGGATGTTTCTGATGTGGAGAAGCAGCAGCATTTTGTTTCCATAAGGGTGCATCAGAAGCACAAAGCTGTGCTTTTGAGTTATGAGGAAAGATGAACATTAATAAACAGGCAGGTCAAGAAACACCGCAATACAAAGGAGTTTGTTATTCCTCTAGCATTTGTCACCAGATGCTCGCCCTCCAATAAATCTTGCTTTGAGAAATAGTTTTTAAGTCTTGCTTAGATCTGACAGCAGTAAAAGTCCCTTATGAACTCTGAAAAGGCAATCTCAATCCAGCTGCTGGTGTTTAGGGCTACACAAGATGAAAAGTGCTGTAAATGACAGAATCTATCTTCTAATAGATTTGACAAATGCTGGGGCTGAACCTGTGAGCGATGGGAGCTTTTTTTATTGACTTGCCAAAAGCAATGGTTTCTGTGAATTGCACGGCTGAAACGAACAGTAAAAACATGCACTGATGCAAGTTGCTGAGTAATCATGTATCCTTCCTGTAAGCAGTAAATACCTTTTTTGCTAACTAAATGCTATGTTCAAGAGCAAACCATACAGAAGGCACAATAAACTTCACAGTAAATCTGCCTCCTGGGTGTTGAGCATCAGGCTGCAGTTACTCTGTGACTTCAGACAGATCGTGTAGCTCAGGCTCCTTGGTTTCTTCACCGAAACCAGGCAGTTCATAAGATCCTTCAGATCACTGGATGAGGGATTTTTTCCCACACTGGGGTATTTTTAGTAAATTGCTAATTTTTGCAATCTTGATAGGGTGATATCTCTCACTTGCTCGCTAAAAAGGTTTTTCCAGTTTTTTCACGAAGCCTAAATAGAACCCAGGTGCTCACCATCCAGCACCAGCAGCTTTGCTGTAATATACATGTATATATATTTTTTACTTTCCATAAATAAAAAGCCCTTTTAATTAACATTTCAAGAACAGTGTTAACTAGGTAATATGACTTACCACTACAGTCATTAGCAGGTCAGCTTCTTGGAGAAAAAATCCTCACTGGCTTTATCAGTGTGAGCTCTGCTGAAAACTATCTCCAGCTGAGGAACGTGCAAATTCCTTGGGCAAACATTAATCTTTCAAGGGCACACACTCTGGTAGCCAAGCAGAGAAATGCCCATTTCTATAGCAAAATAAATCCACTTTGGATAACTAAAATCTTCACTTAAACCTTAATAACACCATCCATGGTATTTTTTTGGAAAGCCAGTTGCTCCCACACATGCCTTTCTAGCTAGAATTGGGGCACTGAAAAGATTAAATCTCATCATTCTGCAAATCTCCAAGTATCTTAACTGTCTGCAATATGTTGATGTTAGGTCAATATACTGAAAACAGCATAGCACACACAAACTGCAGTGTCTCCAGCACACACCCACGGGTGCTTATCAGACAAAACCATCTGAATCACTGAGCACTGATGGGCCCGTTTCACTCCAACCAAAGCCCAAACTGCCTATTGCATTTCCCTCCTGAAGCTCCCAGCTATGTACACTCTTAGTAACGAGTCTTTGCCCTTGACACTGCAATTTTTATTTTTTTTTTCACTCAAAGCTTTGGTGTAAAATGCGAGCTGCACAAGTTTAACTCCTGTTTGTTTCCCCTACACTTTTGCTCCTAATTCTTCCTGCCTTTTTAAAAATTCCCCTTTATTCTTTCTCCCTGCTGGTTTAGGATTTTGCAGCAGCAGAAAAGATTTTGTTGTAGTGGTTGTGAAGAGCATATTCCATACAGGAAAATATTTTCCATACATGTATCACTGGACATAGTGGCACTATGTAAGTAGCACTTTCTTTTCTACATGACCTAGATGTTTTCTGGTCTTCCCACTCAAGAGCTGATTTGGGAATCTGCATCAGTGAGCTGAAGGAAATAGGTAGTATGGTAAATTTAACAGAGGAGGAAACTTTGGGGTAAAATGCTATAGCTTG